AAATCATTCGCCATCATCCTATCAGTCATCTCTCCTTACTCTGTTTATGTGGTAAGTGAAATGTTATGTACTGTAATGTAACAGGCTACCGCTAGCAAGCAGCTAACCATGTCCCTTTAGTGGCTCCGTAGAACGCGTTATTTGTTTTCCGTGCCTTTCTGAACACGGATTCAGCCACACCTCTAACCCAGTCGGGGGGGCACAAAACTCTTATTTGACATCGTACCAAGTTACTGTAACCGTTATATGCTACGCAAGTCTTTTTTTATGCCACGCAAGTCTACAGTGTGCGCGTGTGCGTGTTGTCTTTGACTGCTTTTAGGTGCGTTATTGGTAGCGCTTCCCTCTGCTTACATGAACGCGTCACACCACCGCATCAGCACCGAAAACATGGGGAAACTTTTTTAGACAATAATCGCACAACCTATTCGATATTCTGTAATTAAATCAACTAATTAAACATTCGAAAATCGTGATCCATTTCTAATATATCTGTTATAAATATGTACATAAACTGAATGTCCTAATTAAATAAAACTATTTAACTTTGTGGTTGTTTTATCTAAAGCGCTCAAATCACCTATAGTGTATTTATACATAACATGCAACATATAATACACGACTCGGATTTTGGAAATATGATTTTGTTTATTTTTGGTGAATTTTTGAAATATTCAACTCTATATAACTTCCTGGTCATGTGACCCGATGACGTCACACCAGTTGTAATATCTTCACACAATCCTGACACACATCATACACAACTTGGATTTTGGAAATATAATTTTGTCTATTTTTAATGAATTTTTGAAATATTTAAATCTGTATAACTCCCTGATCATGTGACTTCGTTGCCACACCCACTGTATTATATTCACACATTGTACATTCATATTTTTTTTTTCTTTTGAAAATATAATGAATGTTTTTAGACAATTACTTGAATTACTGAAAACTTTTTTACTTCTTGGTCATGTGACCTGATGTTGTTACACAAGACCGGTTTATATTCACAAACATTTCCCATTCAAAAATTTGAACATTGTATGCCTACCAAACATTTATTTAAGTAGTACTATAGTCATTTTTTGTACTGTTGTATAATTTTTAGTCCTTGTGTAATTTGGTGGGTCCAGGCTCAATGGCAATTTCTGAGAGATGCATTAAATAGGAATTGTATGTAGAAAATGTAAGAACAATCATAATTTGGCTATAGGGTTTTTCTTTATTTTTAGAAGAGTGGAGTGTATGCAGGAACAATAGTAGGCGAATAAAATCAGGGGATGATACCAAACAGTCTTGAACTTGCATCCCCATGAGCCAACAGGCCTCAAATGTCCTAAACTAGTGCATTGTCCACTATACCATTCATACTTGTCACTGTAGTAAAATACAGCTACATTCACTCAACTTATGTTTTTGAGTTATCTTTTTGCACTGACTCAGTTAAGTTGCATTTATGTAGAATATTAATTATGTACAACTTGACAAATTGAACATTATTTGAATTTATAAAGTTTAGTTGGAATAACTTTATGTGAGCAAGGTGAACTTACTTTAAGTTTTCAGTACAAAAGTTCCCTGTAACCCTGTCCTCATGATGTAATACACCCTCGGTATTTTAAATTGCAAATTGAGTCTGTTGGCCCTGCTTTGCTTTCTCTACTGAACAAATGTTTATCAACTGGTTCTGTTCCTGCATGCCTGAAATTGGCCTCTGTTACTGCCTTGCTCAAGAAGCCTTCCTTAGATATGTCTGATTTAAACAACTACCGACCTATTTCTGTGGTCCCTTTTATTTCCAAGGTACTAGAAAAGATTGTGTTGTCAACTACAATCTTTTCAAGTACAAACCATATCTTTTCTAGCACAAACCATATCTCAGAAATCTTTCAGTCTGGTTTCAAGCCATTTTTGGCCCATATGTGAACACTCCAAATGATCTCAGACCCCTCAGAAGCTAACCGAACCGAGACCATCTCGGGAGGTGGTCTGAGTGCGGTTCGCTTTCGGCTAAAGGTACGGTTCGCTAAAAACGTGCATTGTGATTTTTCCATTTGCGAATTCCAATGTAGTTTGGCCATCAGATGTTTCCGTACAAATCAGCTGTTCATAGCGGCTGCTTCTTCTGGCAGATCTCTATAAATTGTTCGCTCACAACGTACACTCGTTTATTTTAATTTCAACCGCTTCCAAACTGTGTGCGAGAGACGCGGCTATGCGCCTTGCCAGTTTAAACTTTTTGATATAGGCTACGAGCACGCACATCCCAGCGGGGGCTAAACTACACTCTTTAACGTTTATTGTTTCAACGGTCAAAAACACCCATGGTTCACATAAACACAGTTGGTTTTGTCTCAGTCAAATGTAAACATCTGGGAAAGCTGTGCAGTATGTAGTACAGCAGCCTAATATGAGAATAAGTAGAATCTATTATTCATACGATTAATAATATGCATTTTAATTTTTTTCATTTGATTAGTACATTTCTTACATAAATGCTGCATTTATGGATACCTAACTCCAGACCTTTTACCTGCTTAATTGATGTAGAAATAATGAAAGAATAGCCCACATCTGTCCATGAAACAGCTTTTGAGTCGATTGTCCAATTACTTATGGTCCCTTGAAAAAGGAGGATGTACATATTAAAGAGCTGTAATTCCTTAACCTTTCCTCCAATTTTGATGAGAATACTCTTAAATTAAAGCTCAGAGTGTGCACTTTACGCCCATATTCATTATATAACTGTAACCTGAATATATTTTAGTCAACAGCTAAAATAATAAAAAATTGTGTCAGTGTCCAAATATATATGGACCTGACTGTATATGATTATGTAAACCAAGTAAATCTGTGTAATAGCTGTAAATAAACCTCTCTCTCTTTCAGTACACGATGTTCCAGACCAGATGAGAAGCAGCACTTCGACTGGAGTCAGTGTTGATGTGAAAGCTGAAACAGGAGCAAGTGTAAATGCTCCTGTATTGACTAGAAACCTCTTCACAGGACCAGTAAACATTTGTGGAACAAATGCTGCAGGAAATGGTACATTTACATCACTATGACAAGACACACCACTAATACTAACATCTGAGTAAAGACTCATACCCCCGGTTTCACAGACAAGGCTTAAGCTAGTCCCAGACTAAAATGCATGTTTGAGCTGTCTCAACTGAAAATATCTTGCTCTGACATATCTTAAAATATGTCAGTGTCATTGTTCTGTGTCAAGATGCACACCTGTAATGTTTTCTTCAATGGCATTTTTGTAAAAGTTGCTTAAATATTTTAATTTAACTAAGGCCTAGTCCTGGCTTAAGCTAAGCCCCGTTTGTGAAACCGGGCCATAGTGTTACAACCTCATAGTAATTTTAATAGGACACACATTATTTAGCACCATTTTAATGCTATGGGATAATATCTCACATGATATTTATCTTCCATTTCTCTCATTTTTTTATACATCTTTTTGTTTTCCTCACAGATCAGCAGAAATGCTCAGAGATGGAAGAGATAAAAAGAAAAAAACATAAAAGAGAACAAAAAAAGAAAAAAGGTAAATCAACAATTAATGTGAAGAATTAGGTGTGAAACCATCAGGAAACATTTAGTCTCCAGCGCCAGCATTTTCCAGAACTGCAGCCTTCCTGGAGTCTCCAGAATTACATCTCTCATTTTTTTATACATCTTTTTGTTTTCCTCACAGATCAGCAGAAATGCTCAGAGATGGAAGAGATAAAAAGAAAAAAACATAAAAGAGAACAAAAAAAGAAAAAAGGTAAATCAACAATTAATGTGAAGAATTAGGTGTGAAACCATCAGGAAACATTTAGTCTCCAGCGCCAGCATTTTCCAGAACTGCAGCCTTCCTGGAGTCTCCAGAATTACAAGGTGTCAGGTTCTCAGAGACTTTGCTTGGGTAACAAATCCTAAAGAAAAAATGACCCTCACTTAAAAAGAATAACATGCTGAAGTGTTGTGAAATACATGAAGACTGAATTTTTTATAAGCTTTATGGAAAGATAAGTAGTGAGTGACTCTTGAAGGACCATCACCACATCTTCTTGTACCACTGTTTAAAGAATTTAAGAATATTAAAGAATAAATGTGAGGGTCATTTTTAAGGATTTGTTACCCAAGCAAAGTCTCTGAGAACCTGACACCTTGTAATTCTGGAGACTCCAGGAAGGCTGCAGTTCTGGAAAATGCTGGCGCTGGAGACTAAATGTTTCCTGATGGTTTCACACTTAATTCTTCACATTAATTCTTAATTCTTTTGCAGTTAACGTGTCTTTTCTTCTCCACCTGTTTTTTTCTGACCCCGCTGACCCAATGAGCATTTTGCTGACCAATGGTCATGCCTTAACTTTGAAATTTCTGTATTGCATTAGTTTTTAATATTTCTCATGGGGATTTAATCATTTTTGACTTCTCAGTCTGTGTTAAATCTCTTTTTTTTTTTTGGCTCATTTCATCCGTAAAAGTAAACCTGCCTAATAATTCTGCACACCTTAATAAGGAGTTTTTCATTTCCAGCCTTCATGGACAATTATATATCACTTCTAAATGATTAAATACAAAAATAATAGTAGTTATTAGATTGCATCGGCTGTGGGGATGAAGACCACAACTCCCATGATTCCACACTCAGTCACGCCGTCATCAAACTACGCCTTTGTCTCTTTGTTTATTTTGAAAACTTGCATATTGTGCCTTTAATGAACGATTAATGAACAATTTGCTGCAGTGTTGAGCACAAACGCACAGATGAGTTATAAACTTAACCCTCAGGAGTTGACCCCGAGGCATTTTTGGGCCTTGGTTGTGTTTTTATTTTCCCTGACATTTGTGCTTATTTCATTTACTTATTTGAATATTTAAAGTCTGATACGCTGTATTCAGCACTAATGTGCTCCAGATTACAACCCCTACCTGATAAACACATTATCACTGTTTGTTTTGTTCTCTACACAGACTGTTTGTATGTAATCTCACTGCTCAGTCTTGTGAGAGTTTGTCATTAGTTTTACAATCCTCAAACTCTGTCCTGAGAGAGCTGGACCTGAGTAACAATGACCTGCAGGATTCAGGAGTGAAGAAGCTCTCTGATGGACTGAAGAGTGCAGACTGTAAGATGGAGATTTTGAGGTTTGTGTTTCAAATACTTTATTGTTTGTTTTTCTTTCATTAAGTTAATAGCTAAATATATTGCTAAGGTTTGTACTGTATGTAGCTGATTTGTGTTTTTCTTATTCAGAGTTTCCATATGTAATCTCACTTCTCAGTCTTGTGAGAGTTTGTCATCAGTTTTACAATCCTCAAACTCTGTCCT